ACGTATGGCATGCAACTGCGAATGTTTTGTGCTCACAGATGAGACAAACTGGGGTTCGCCGTTTGTGTAGTTGGAAAGTTTTCTTTCCTCCCAGAAATAATAATAATAATTGTTCAGCTGTGGCATCCTTTCGGTGCCTAGCTGCCATGACACCCGAAAGAAGCACGAAGGATGAGATACTGGCAGATTGCCAAAGTCTAGACAGGCCAAGTCGGGAGGCGGAGGTCGGGTTCGAACCACGGACCTTCCGGTCAATAAATTCGTGCTCCAACCACTTGAACCATCTCTCCTAGAAAAGGCCACCTATCGAACGAGATCTACAAGGTTGTACCGACTGTACTTTATTTCGTCACTCTATGTAGGCCTTCTACAGAGACCCATTAGAAATGATCACCTTAAAAGGAAACAACCGTATGTCAGCAATCCTTGAAACACCACTTTAAAGCATCATCCCCTGAGAAGTCTCTCTTCTATGACAGTTTCCTACTTAAGTAGACAAATAAAATCCTTTTGACCGTTGGTTACTTCCAGCGGTAGTGTTCCTACAGATGAACGGAAAATAACTCCGCACCAACGACTGTAGGCTCTGGAAATGGCTGTAATACCGAAAAGTGATATGGACTATCACTTGGTAAAGTGCCCAGCTCAGTTAGCAAACCAACGATCATTGTCAACACCTGTGAAACGGCTAATATATTTGTCCAGTCAACTCATTAGCAGACAGCCCCGAGCTGTTTGCTGCTCACAGAAAGCGCCCATGATGAAGCAATGACATATTCAATGAGATTGCGAGCAAGCTTGAACCCGAGCCAGAGTTCTTGATGCAACTTCGGCTGGGTTTCATACGGTGGTGGCTTTCCGACGGAGTTCTGCCGTTTTACCTCATGAGGGTGTATGTGCACACTTTTTTCTGAAGATATTTTAACATTTCAGAAGTTATGATGGACGGTCAAAATATTAGTTCACTGTTCCCGATTTATCACTTCATTGTTCACTCGTACGTTGGAAGTCGGTCACTCCCTACCTCAAGAGAGACCACAGTCATAAATAAAACCACATGGACCGCCCTACCGGGGAAACTGCAGTCCCGTCAGTAAGGCCATATGGAAATGTTTTCTATCTACCCTCAGGGTTTCTGAAAACTCCTTGGCAGCCCGATTTCACTCTACGTGGGTTTCATCAGGTAGGCACAGTCCCCGAACTTCCTTCAACCGTGTGTTCTGCTTGACCTCAAATTGCACGCAATTCGACAGATACACTAATTCATCTATCAATTCGGTTTTCCCTGGAGACTCACTCCACTGAATTTATCGATTTTATGACGTTCTTAGGCAAGTGAATATGATGCACCAGGTTGCCTCATTTTTTCAGTTGCTATACTACCCCAGATATCGCAATGCCTTGCATAGAGATAATACACAACTCATATGGTTGCTGAAAATTCTTCGAAAGCCTAGAACCGGTTTCGCCCTTATAGGGCTCATCCGGTAGGTGCAGTCCCAGAAGTCGAAAGGGAGAGGTCAGGTTCGAACTCCCGGTCCGTATATTCGCGCTCTAACCACTGAGACATCTCGATTCAGTATACTGCAAAATCTCGGATATAGTAACAATGACAACATTAGACGTGCAGCACTTTCAGTTAAACGGGACCACGTGACTAAAATAATCATCTGGATTCATTTGAGCCCCCCGCCAAGACTGAAGGAGAGTATTTGGTGGATATCTGTTTTTAATCTACGCGATCTAGAATACAAGTTGAATCCGGAGTGCCAACATCACCTGATAGCTATTACTTCACGACAATCTACCCTTCACTGACTTATTAGGAAAGTAGAAAAAGCGCCCTCGGGCAAGCAAAAAAAGATTTACATAGCAAATTGAATCAATTGCTGGTCACAAGCATATGATCACCTACTGAAAAATAGCTTATATGGCTTGTTAGCATCGATCTATCTGACAAGTTAGCTTTACCCGTCTAAAATTAATTTACTGGAACTCAGCCAGCGCGATTGTTTTGAACTTGTGCTCACGTTATAAGCGGATCCACGGGGTAATTGCTGGGAAATTTTTTTCAGAGGATTGACTGCTCTATCAAAGGAATAATGCGTTGCTGAAGCGACCTTTCCGAGTGTTTATTTCATAGTGCAATGAGTGCTCTTCGCGAATGGACGAACCAGGTTAATTTCCGCTGTATATCATTCAGCACAATCCGTGGATTTGTTTCCAAAGACAACCCAAGGTCACTTGGGTGCACTCTGAATAATACGTCCCGTTGTATAGGGTCACCGCTTTTGGCCACTGATTTAAACGCCGAGCGAGATTTCATACTGGTGCCCTTCGATCCTAAAGCAAAGGCCAAGAAAAAGGCTGGGCAATGACAGGTCGCCCTAATTTTTCCCGTGGAATGAAGCAAAATGAACACACCGATTCTTCAGTTTCGAAAGAACGAGAACACATCCCATCCCATCGTATTACTTCTGAACTTGAACATGTCACTTGGATACCGCATATTCTGAAGGTAGATCTACCACCGCTTGGTCAGATCGGTGACCTGCCTTGATGGCTTCCAAAAAATAAGTTTGGTCAGTAAACAAATAGAGGGAGCCAAAGAATGTTGGCATCTCAGTGAGCATCAACACCGTTCGGACTGGTGTTGAGCACATTTTCCTGAGTAGGCGTGTAATCCGTGCGACAAACTTTACGGGAGAGAGCGTCTCCTAATCGAAGCTAAATGTGAAGTGTTCAAACCAGGAAAACTGACAATCCGGCCTACTCAACAGCTGCGATGGGGGTGTGGATGGAGAACTGAGGTCATCACGTGACCTGTAGACACGATCAGGTGATCAAACAACTTTGAATCACACCGTTTTAACCGAATTTCCAGAGGACAGGCCCAACAGTCTGGTCAATACCGCCAGGACGAACAGCTAATACTGTAAACGTGCTGTTGCAACCGAGGCGGATATGTTTGGAGCCGACGGTTCTGGAAGGTCTGGCTAACAATTGTTGAATTTATTGCTAAGCAGCGTCTCACTTCTTACAAGTGCCGTAAGACCAAGTGATTGGGTTGGATCGTTGATCGAAGTGAGTTAGTAACCGAAGGTAAAAGCTATGTTACGAGGCAAATAATAGAATTTTTGGCTTTTGAATTGAGTGAGTGAGGGAATGATTGAGTGAGTGAGTGTGAGCGAGCGAGCGCAACACCAACCGGTTAGGAGAAAGCCTAGTAGAATTTTGGCCGGGTTCTGAGGTCTGGCTTTGGTCGGTAACATGTCAGTTAAATATTCTTTTTGGACGATATTTGCAACTTTTTGGCTGTCTGGAAATTTTCAGTGGCTATTTCAATCCCGCAAGTGAATTCAAGCTGTGTCAAAAAGTCGAGCCACAGTACAGCCGCTTCAATTTTATAAGAATTCATCAGCAATGCTAATTCGAACTTGGAGCCTCCGGGTTAGTTGCTGATCATGAGCTAGAACGACTCGCTGCCGGCAACAAGGTGACGATTTACGGTTCTCCTGCGGCAAAGACTGGCTTCGCACAGAGGACGAAATCTCCATGGGAAATTTTTGAATCTCCTCACATCACCAACAAACAACGACTACTTTGTAAGGAACAGTAATTCACATGAGTTAACTATCACCCTGAGAAGTCTTCACTCGAGAATACAGTCAACACTTGACAACGTGATGTTGATTACGCCTTTGAATTGGCGCTACATCGTATCTAAGCGCGAGTTAGTCACACTGCTGGTCAGACTCTTGAAATCAACCACTAAGTGCCCGAAATCTACCGAAACTCTCAGCTCCACTAGATGTTGACCAGACGAACAACGCCCCCTCAATATGCAGCGCTTCACAGCCTTGTATCGAACCCAGACAGTGCGAGTCAGCATTGGTCAAGGTCAAACAATTTCCCTGCAATATGCAGCGCGGCACAGCTTCGTACCAAAGCCTGACCGCTTGCGTCAGCAGTTCAGACAGTGTTCCTCCAATAAACAGCTTGAGATCGTTGTATTTTTGGCATGACAGGCACTCACGCTCCCGCACTCGCTTGTTCGGAATATAGCTGTCGTGTTCCCCCCTGTGAGTCTTTTTTCCGGCACTAAGCCCTGGAGCGGGTCAGCAGTCAGATGGAACAGACTGGCGAATCAGCAGATATAACATATACCAAGAAAGTGTTCACCATCGGTCGTACTTTTGCTTAAGCAAGCGACCTGTTTGCAAATACCATTCGTTGTGGTGTCAATTAACGAAAGCTAAATATGTCCATTTGGTAGTTGGGTAACGTGGAACTGTCGGTTACATTGTACCAATCGCTCCTGAACAGTCTTAGGACTCAAATGACGGGACGCTCTTGTTCCCTCCAATTGCCGCTATTGGTCAATCCCTATTGAGGTCGGGGAAATTTTCGCCAACTGTTCTTCCTAGTACGGTTTGATTTGTTCACCCGGCCTATCTATCTACAGTCGATTAGAATATGGTAGAACGTAGACTAGACACCAGAGTCTGTCCATTCGTTTCGCTCAGGAAAGAAACATGAAAGAGTGGAACAAATGAAGCTAACCAGACAAGGGTGACTAATTCGTACATTTATTTGTCCTTGTTCATCCGCACTGTCTAGAAAGCCGGTGCTTTCATGGGGTGGTGACTGTGTTGATTACGATGGAGGCAGCGCGTTCGCTGCAGACAGCACCTCGAACATATATTTCAAGAGTCTTGGAATGACTTTTGAGAATAATACGCTTTTTTCCCTCAAAGAAGCTGAAGGATCTAACAGCATGCCGTTCCGAGTGGGAACCAATCGTAGAAAGAGTGCCTATGAATGCTCGTTCCCAATCCAGCATCCAAAATAGTGATGACATTTCAACACCGTACTCACTAAACAGATAGGTGAGATCATCGACAATCTCAAAGCTTCCTCAAACAGTCGTTTGAAACCTCCCGTTCTAGCACTGCTTCCTTCCACGATGTTGCCACATGTGTAAAACAGGCCACAGTGGGAAATCACGCACTAATCACATTGTTCAAACCAGAGTTGAAACGAAAACAAGGCACCAAGGGAATCAAAGTCAATCGTGAAGTGAGAACAAATGCGGCGCATAAGAATCTAACAGATTGCCTACATACAATCACCAAGAAAATAAAACGAACGTCAAATGGAGATGAAAAAATCGATGAGCAGTAAGCAATGATCACAGAGCATGAACAGTGAAATTTGACTGTATGAAAAAAAGGAAAGAAATGAAACCCGGACTCTGCATAATGGGAGGGTTTTTGAAAAAGGCGAATAGCATTCTCAAAACAGGCGATTCCGCGTGGGGAGGCTGGAGAGGAGATGACTCAGATATCACGTGGTGCAACGTCTGCAACTGGCGCTTTGAGACACCTTACGATGGGAGTTGGAATCGCCGAATTCGGTTGCATTTGTGGTTAAAGGCAGTGCCATCGAGGTGGGCACATCACCAAGCGCTGATGTCTCACCATTTTCATTGAGATCGCAAACAGCCTTTGGGGAGTTTGGACTAGATCGATGACAGACCAGTTCAACACCGGAACATGATTGAGGCTCGTTGTCTCCATTCCAACCCGAATTGACACTCAAGGGGACTGTAGACAAATCCTGGGGGACATCGTCCAAAAACTCACTGAGATCAGTATCAGCCTGTGAAGTGGAAAAAATAGTCAGAGAAACACTGAGTAACGTTCAAAACCTCATACACAACTCTCCCAAGTCAGGAACGACAAAGCTGTGGGACGATGAAACAGTTTGTGACAACAGACACAACTTACCTCGGATATACTCGAAATCAATCCCGTGGTTGTTGAGATGGAATTGGGTAACAGTAACGACTGTGTGGCGTAAAGTCGAGCCGACCGCAGTGCAGTCGGTTCGAATGAACGACGTCTCGGATTGACAAGGGCGCCGGGAGTTGCCTGAAGGCTGCTATTACCGGGATTGAAGGCCGTCTGTTGCAGATCAGCAGATAGGACAATGATCGGACTGGGTTTTCCATCACTTTCCCAAGCAATCATTTGACCTGTGTAACCTTTCTGACGCCAGAAGCGATTACGCACGCAACGGACGTGATGTTCTTTGTCGCTAAGACTGTCTATCATGTGCGCCTGGAGTTCACGTGCTAGGTTTTCGGTACTCTGAAAACAAGAGCGAAAATCGAGGCAGGTAAAACCCTAAAACACGTGAGAAGACATGCAAGATCTTTCTTCGTAGGCAAGGAATACGGACACAGTGTTACAAAACTGTGGTGCAGACGCCACTAGAACAACCATCCTATATCTAATCTGATTTGGAGTTTAGCAACACCATTCAGCTCATTATCACAGACAGATGGATGCTGAAAAAGGCAATCGAAGTGAGTACAGTGACTGCCAACAACAAATCATCTATACCACAAGTTACGAATACAAATAGAGTAGCTTAGAGGCCGACCATCACATGAAGCTCATTCAATCATCATCATTTGGCTTTAGTAGCCTTTTGGTGCCACCCGAAGGAAGGGCTGAGATATTACCAGGTTGCCCAAGTCTAAACGGGATTGGGAACACGGACCTCCGGTCAGTAGATTTGCGCCATAACCACCGAGCTCTCTCGATCTGTGTCACGTTATGTGGTTCTAAAATTGGCATCTGCTCAGCTCTGCAAGCTGTCCGGGGAAATGCCACCGTTTGAGAGTAAGAAGGAATTAAGCCGCTCGCAACTACAAACCTCGATTTTCACTCAGTTTGGACGATATGCCATTGTGTGAACTGACGACTGCTTCTCGCAAACGAATCGCGAATGGATCAACTGAGAGCTGATCAACAATTGTTCATGCTGACAATCAAGAGGAAAGCGATGAGATCGTTGCATACAAGCTTTCGAGTACACCATTGATGAATGCATTACAAGGGAAGTATACCGATATTGGAGAAGTTCAAAAAAATTGGTCTAGTGTTCAACTTCACTTCTGGTTCACTGTCGCTGTGAAAATAATGAGTAGGTATACCACGAAAGTGCTGAAGATGGGCAATGGGTGCACGTTGTTCTTACAATCGAAAAGAAATCAGAACTATCAAATTACAAAGCATCTGTACGGGATATAATGAAGCGTCGAGATTTAAAATTTCATGAACAAGAGGCATTTGATTTAAAGAGGGGATGAGGATTCCTAGACATTTTATGGGTCTGGTAAGATGTAATGGCACCGATAAGTCGGGTGAAGTCACACCGAATTTGTATTTCCTGGCTTGTGTCACAAAACAGGAGTACGTCAAACGTGACGGACTGCGCAACTTCATGATCGTAGTGGTGAAAAAACTCACCAAAGTACCCTCCTGGTTACTGTCAATGTAGTAGGACTTACCAGGTGAGTATGGGTATCTGCAGATGCTGAGGATGGCGTTGAAGAGGCACCTACTGAGTAGGGTAGAGAGTGCCTTCGGCCGTTGTATGCAACACATGCCCGACAACCGGGAGATGAATTCGTGGCGTCGGACTCAGAGGATAGCAGTTCCTCCACTAGGGGGTTCTTTTCTTGAATATGCCTTCGGCGACCAGGCTGAGCTCGCATCACGACTTTAGACAGTGATGCTTCTTCTGATGGTCGTGGATCGTGATTGGAATTGCTGACACCGACCGGTTGGAGGCTCAGCCTGTCAGGTCGACCAGTGGGGATTGGGCCGGAAAAAGAAATGACTGGGCGTGGAGGTGAGGCAGCAGAGACAACTTCAGAAACACTTGGAGAGGTAGCATAAACATGGGGTTTTCGACTCGAACGCTCGCGCGGCCAAAGGGGAGAGACCTGACCAAGAAGTGGAAAAGTGCGAGGGCAAACCGTACTGGAACTGAGTGAAGGGGTTTCGTTGGCAGGACTACGTGGACATGGTTGATCCACGTCGAATGAGCAGGATTCAACTGGCTGAGCTGTAACAGTGGCGGTTGCAGGGTAACTAGAAGTAGAGAGAAAATAGGATGCATATGAGGAAGATATTCCACAATCCTCATACGATTTAACAATGAACGCTAGTAACTTTCAAAGTGCAACAGCCAATAAAAAGGTGTGGGGGTGCTAACTCTGGAGCAGTAAACTGGTTCATGGAGGAGAGAGAGGTCACATTGATGAACTCTTCCTCTCAGCCACACCAGTCACTGCTGACTCACCTGACGTGCTGCGTACAGCAGAGCGAGTAAGCGAAAACTGTCTATGACGGATACCTCCTTACGATTTCGCGTATTTCTTCTCCCCCCCCCCCCACTAAGAGTACTGTCTCTGCAGGTCCCAGCACTAGGAAGTTTATCGTTGCCGTTAGCAGCAAATACGATGCGTTCGTCAGAACCAGAATCCTAGTCCATTTGCCAAATTTGATGTTGGGAATCTGAAACAAAGATGCAAATAAGCTGCACCTGTTCGAGAGTCGGATGGATACCTTCAGCATTAGGCGGAGACGTCACCTCAGTACAGTTTGTTTCGCGACGTTTGCGAAATGATACGGAGAAAAAAGGGGTCCACTGCTCCTGCTGACGAGCATCCACCATTGCCTGCGCTTCTTCTGAAATAACAGCGTAGACTTTGGTCATTCACTTGCCCACTGTTGTCTTTCATTGAGCTTTTCACGTTTACACAGAATATGCGCAACTCTATTATCCACTGAGAACACCAAGGATTCGGAAATCAAAATGGTTACCCCAAAGCCTGTTGTCCAGCAACGCTACATTTGAGGCCAGGACTTCCATCTGCTGTACTCAATCCAGTCGGTCTCTTCTAAGTGTTGGAAGGACCGCAGGCTCTCTCAAGGACCGACGCGACGTTCAACATGGCTGCAACCACAGCCCAACTCGACGAATCACTCGCCGCAGATTGGGATACCCAGTGAATCCAGAAGGTCAAAGAAATGGAAGAAGCTAATAGTGCTAAAAATGTCCGCAGGTTGTTCCACTTAACTTGTTCGGCCGGCCCCGAGTCAGCGAAACTATCTATACCCAGTGAATCCAGAAGGTCAAAGAAATGGAAGAAGCTAATAGTGCTAAAAATGTCCGCAGGTTGTTCCACTTAACTTGTTCGGCTGGCCCCGAGTCAGCGAAACTATCTGAGATTACGAAAAGTCTGGGTACTGTCGGTATAACTTAATTTACAGCGTGATTCTCACCGCGCCTGGTTTGAAAACGCTGCAAGATATGGCTGCCAAGCGATGCCCTATGACTTTTCTGTTGTCAGTTTCAATCCGAATTGCCGGAAAGTATGTGTGGATATGTAGGGAATTTAGAATGATTGTGGTAGGCTAGCACCAAGTCCCTTGCCCATTCGTCTTCATTCTTTTCTTCAAAATAAGGCTTTCGAATTATCCATGGTTGCAAGGTAGCAAAGCATCATGGTTGAACACTGATGTCATGTTGTCGACGATGGTGATTCTGCGGGAAAGTGATATGAAAAGTCTTGATTTTAGCACGTGTCTCAAATGTGTTGCTGATATCGACGAATTATCTACGGAGCTATTGGGAAACGGGTGTTCACTCGGGCTCAGTCAGCTCAAACCGCGAGGTGAGCAACACGTGACATAACAATCCGATAGACCAACAGACCGACAGACAGACAGGCAGACAGACAAACAAACAACAAACAAAAAACAGACAGACAGAGAGATGACGAGGCGTTTGGGTGTTGTTGATGCCGGGTGATCAGGTTGAGGTCTCAGTTAACCTCCGTGAACATGGCTGTAGATGCTGTAATAAAAAACGACTGATTGATGTTAATGACGTTTGTGCCGTTAGCTACTTTCCAGATTGCAAGGTGTTTGCGGCAAGTTAACAGCAGCCTTTTTTCGATTCGACGCTTTCTTCTCTTCATTGTAGGGGCATAAATGTAATCAAATAACCTATGTGGTGCATCAATGTCAACACCATTGTAGCTGTCTGTGATGATGATTACGACAGCCTTCCCGTCAAGCCCTTTTCGCGTCGGTCAGACTGAATTGCGATGTTATGAGGTAGTCAGATTTAGAGCTCAAATTATATAAGAGAAAGTGAAAATAGTTTGAGCGAAGAAAGCGAACGACAGACATGAATACATTCCAGACGACTCGGATAAACGCTTATTCATGAGTGCCACTTGAAATCGGGATGAATAGGATAGATGCGAACGGAACAATCGATCGTACCGATTATGCCCACTGTCCCATGGCTTGCGGAAAAGAAAGTAGACAAAAGTCTAGGATGAGCGATTAGGCATGCTTCCAAACGACAGAGAATATGGGAGCTGAAAGGAAACAATTGCGCTCATAAACACACACATACACAGAGATAGATAAATTGGGAAGCTTGATTACAAGTTTTCAAAAAGAAATGGGGTTCGAAAGTAAACCCGGTCGGCTAACAAAAGGAGTTGATCTCAGCAACACGATAGAAACTGTAGAAGCAACCAAAATGCGAAAAACAGAAACGAGGAAGCTGTATTCATCTTGGATTACCAATGAACAATGGCACTTACACGGAGACCGATGGAGAATCTAGGACGATTGGATTCAGAGTATCCGACTGGGGGCCTTGATTGAGTGCAGGACAATGCGGAACAACGGTCAGACGGCTTAGTTCACTGTTGACAGACTGACTCAACTGTGTACATGTGGCATCGTCCGTGTCGGACGTATTCAAAGCCGATCCACCCTCTGAAAGTGCTCGAGTACGGTGATAAACAGCATGGAAGGATCCCGGGGAATTCGAGATGGATGATCTGGCTAGAGACCTCACCGAATCCAGGAGTGAATCTTGACTTTGTCTTTTGCGCTTATGCAGGATAGATGGGGAACTGGAATTGGGGGAAACAATGTGTCGGGTTGCCGCTGCACAACCTGAAAGTTGCTGATAGGACGGCAAACAACAGTCGTTTGAAAGAACGGGGGGAACACCGGTTTGTTGAGCCGGTTCGATGGTCCGATGGTTCTGTCAATATGAACATAAGGAAAAAACTAAAGTTTTAATAGTAGCTGTAGCATGCAATAAAGAAGCTGTCGAATACACTAGCAAAGTAGCCGAAACTCAATAAAGCTCGAGTGGAACCTGATAGTAAAACTGATAACAAGACACCATCCCTTAATAGTACGATAAGCCACCTCAATGACGACTTAAACCAGCAATGGTAAAGTGGCTTTCGTGAATTGCCCACATGAAGTTTTTCAGCCACCCCTAACAGGATATATGCGGTGAACGAATCACAGTAAGTCGGTTGGAAATCCCCGTGATGAATAGAGAAAAAGCATTCTAGAAAGCGAAATGGGGGCGAAATGGCTCAGTAAGTAGAGCGCGAATTACTGACCGGAAGGTCCATGGTTCGAACCCGACCTCTGCCTCTCGATTTCCCCTGTCTAGGATTGGACAGTATCCCAGCCCTCGTACTTCCTTCAGGTAGAATGGCAGCTAGGCACTGAAAGGGTGCTACATCTGAACGATGCTAGAAAGCCATACTTGGGACTTCGAACTAAAAAAAACGCAAAAACACCGCAGGCAAAACTAAAAAAACGGACAAGTAGGATTCGTTTACTTTCAGCTGGGGAAAAGTGAAGAACGGTGCGGCTGAGACATGAAGGAGAATGAGAGACCACAAGGTCTTCTGGTGCTACACTGTGTAATCAGCAGAGTCGCTGCCCGTCCGGTCTGATGAGGGATACCAAAAGACAAGACGGACTACGTACGCTTCGCCGAATGGAATTCGTAACGGATATGAGAATGAATGAGTAACTTGAAGGGCAATTGCAAAAATCGACACAAGCGCACCGCCTTCGGTGGTATGCGGTCATCAGGACTGAACACTCATCCGTCCGCTAAATCGCTTGTTCTTCCACGAATGAATTTGCCGCAACTGAGGCAGGTTGAAATATACGAAACGTTCACATGGTGAAACACAATGCTTCGTTATCTCGGTTTGACGCTATCCAAACGGGTTTAACGACGACGCCATTCGGTGGCTATCCACACTATCAAGAACACAGTAAGCACATCTCGCAGCTGCTTGAACGCTTGTTGTGTCGGAAAATTTGTTTCCCACCAGGCACGCGGTTGGAAAGAGAGTGTTCGAGAGAGTGTTTGAGAGAGTTCTCAAAACTTTGAACGTTCAACTATAATTTGTGTAGCCAGGCGTCAGGATATCTCCAGTGTCCAGATCAGATAACCAGTTAGAACTGTGGGAATCACCAAAAAATACTACCACAAGTATACTACATGTTGGAGAATGGAATGGAATCACGTGATCCGAACACGAAGTAGTCCATCAACATGAAAGGTATGAAAGTGTATTATACAGCAGTTCAGTCAACCAAGTGTCCGCCAACGGAAACAAACCCATTGTATTCAATCGCGCAGCGAAACTTGAAACAGAAGATCCAGGAGAACGTTTCTGCCATGATCGCCTCAAGACTGCCACTGCTGTTCACTGACGTAAACGCTTTCTACATTCCAGTCTAACAACCCCGGTATAATGTCGGATTAAAGCGTCTGTGGGAAATAAGCAGATCCGATCAGACAGAGTACTTTAGTTATTCGACAGCAAGTGAGCTTCCGCTTGCTTTTGCTGCGTGTATGCGCATCCTTGCGAAATAATCTGCAGTTCTATCGCTCAGTTGTAGTGCCCTTTCGGCGCCTAACTGCCATGCCACCTGAAGGAAGCACGAGGACCGGGATACTGCCAGGTTGCCCAAGCCTAGACAGAGAGGTAAAGGTCGGGTTCGAACCACGGACATTCGGGTCAGTAAATTCGCGCTCTAATCACTGAGCCATCTCATCCCCGTAAAGTTCTATGTGTTCACGAATTTCAAGTGTGAAATTCTTAGATTCCTGTGGTTGTGTACTGTAAAAGGAAAAGCCGCCCGTTGCAGGGCGCCCGGAGGAGATACCCTGTATCAAGAAATAGGAAGCGGAATATCAAGAACAAAAGAAAAAGTTGTGCATTCGTGAACACTGGTCCAAAGGATCGTTACGACAAGAAGAGAGCAAAGGATAGCCTTTCTTGAAAAAAAACGACACCCAATTCATTTTGGCCTGGAAAATCGACACGTCGCGTTTTTTCCTTCCTGTGTTCTACGCATCTTTCAGCAAAATGATTGCAGTCGTAATCATATACAGGACTGGTCTCATTTCAATATATAATGAGCATGAATTCAACAGGAACTCACATTAAGCCACCACAAAAAGTTCGTTTGCGGTCGAGGGGATGATAAGACGAAAAGAGATTCACGGACACTTCGGTCTATTTCACCAATGTAAGCTAAACCTGCAACAGTTTTCTTTTCCTTTTAAAGGAGAGTTTCCAGTCCTGATCGTCTGGGATTACCCAGAAAAAAATGCATCGCTCTTTGGAGGTGTACCGTTGTAACGGTGATACTACTGGTCGGGAGGCACGCGAGTAGTGTGTTGTTCGTAGAATTTCGCCTTGCGTCTTTTGAAAAGGGGAGATCTGTTGCGGAATTCGTGGAGTCACTTTGTAACATTTGCTTGGATTTGACCGAGGAATGATTGGAGTCAATGAACCTCCAGGAGAGTTCAAGAAGACGCGTTCGGGAGAAGATGGGTGTCCAGTTTTTGTAAACAAGATGCAAATTAGAGTGTTGCTTCCCTGCTCAATGGTCTGTAACCGGTCAATTTACATTTCCTAATAAATAACTCCGCAGCGGAGGCCTTTTTCCTTTCGCCGTGTATGAAAACTTGCCTCACGAGTAAGTGGTCTTGCTGGACAGTTGATCTCTTTCCATGAGGTACCTATCAGAGTGAGTCCTTCGAAATCACGCCTTCCTCATTAGTCAATTCCATAGAGGGCATACGCTCCGAAACTGATTAGGAAAACGAACAGACGGTCGTTTTTTCATCCCTACTGAAGGACCTCGAGTTGGAAGTCAGGCGAATGAATAGTTCCTCACCAACTTCGAAAGCAAGTTCAGAATGTAACCCCACTTTCGCATCCTGGAGCAGTCTCTCGTTGGATTTCCTCTTCTTCGGAGTGACGAACAGCATAAGACGGAAGACCTCTAATAACAATAACAGTTGCACGAAGCAGATAAACAGCAAACTTGAACTCACCAAATTGAAAACCAAGAACGTAAAATATCCCGTGTTCGTGGCTACAACGACTGAACACCGAACGTCACACGAACCATTATAACAAGCGTTAGGTTGAAGTAAACGGATGGCCTCGATCAAAAGGTTACTGTGCGCAGCGAAATCCAGGACGCTGTGTAACCTGATTCACAAGTATGTCACGCAAATGATGACCCAAATTTACCTATTGTTGCAGCCGTGCTGTTACCTACCCGCAGCATGGGCCATGGGCTTTCGGAGACAGGCATCTTTGTCTGTTTCCGAAAGCGAACTGACAGATGAAATGTGCGGCAGAATAGTTAGGCACAGCCTCGGATTTAGGGTGAAACCTGAGCCCTCTGGTTTCGGTGGCCATGCGTCACTGAGCAACTGTAGACGTGCGTTTTAGAGCAGACTTGAGCTATTAGCTAACTTTGTTAACAGTGCGATCGGCCTTAAACGTTAGGCAGGATCAATTAGGTACATCATACCACAAGGTGTACTCAGTTTGCCGCGAAGGGTGATTAGCCCTTCCACATGTTTCACGCGCTGCAGAATAGTGTCACTGGTCAGGAAGCGATCTTACGGACCAGAAGGTCCGTGGTTCGAACCCAACCAGTGCATCTCGACTGCCCCTGTCTAAATTTGGGCAACCTGGCACGCGTGGTTCCTTCCGCAGATATGGCAGCTAGGCACCGAAGGGATGCTACAGCTGGACGATTGGTTGTGTCTGTTTGAGACTTGCTTGTAGGCAATCGACGAGAAACTGTAAGAGTGATGGGTCAGTTGGCTAGAGCGCGAATTTACTGACCGGAATGTCCGTGGTTCAAACCCGACCTCTGCCTCTAGACTTCCCCTGGCTAGGCTTGGGCAACTAGGGATTATCTCAGCCCTCGTGCTTCCTTCGGGTAGTGTGGCAGCCAGGCACCGGAAGGGTGTTACAGCTGAACGATCTTGGGTTAGACCGCTCGTCGCACGGTTCTATTCGGACATCGAATGAGGAGAACATCTGGGGACGCTGATCTTTCGTTCCTTGTAGGACAGACACGTTGGAGTGATTATCATTCATACAGTCAGAATTATGATCAGAAATAGGAGAATCATAAACTTCGAAAGACTTTATGTGAATGGCGCGAATTCACTGACCGGAAGATCTGTGGTTCGAACACGACCTCTGCCTCTCGACTTCCCATGTCTAGGCTTGGGAAACCTGGCAGTATCTCAGCCCTAATGCTTCTTTCTGGAGGCATGGAACCAACAGGATGTACATCTGAACAATTTTTTCATGCTAATTTCTATATTCAATCCATGTTACTTAAAAAAGTGCGGGAAGAAAGCTCACCTCCGTAAATGCAGGATTCGAGTCCACAGATTGGGGAATCGGCTGAAGGATTGGTTTCCTTACCCCAGTCTCTGTTGGCCGTTTTTGCAAGCTGGGTGACTCAGAGGACTTTGTTTTAAATGGCAGGTTTCGATTCGGACTCAGTATAATCCCTGAAGAAATTCCGCTGCTCGAAGTTGTATGTGAAGATCGCGGGGAGTATGTGTAACGACGGTCAACGGGTGAACCATCCATTTTATTCAACTGTCCTCGTGGGAAACTGGCTTGCGAATTTTTCACGGTTGATCGGTCATTAGTATTAAATGTGGAAAAAGCATCACTAGGCTCTTCCCGGTTCCGGCCACCCTTGTTCGACGTACTCACAAAATCACAGTAGTTTTGTGAAGGAATCTGAAGATTAAGTGTTTCCCTGCTAGGGTACGTTTTCAGCGGATGGTTTGACCTGAAACAGTAAAATAATGTGAATCAACAATACTGGAATTAATTGCCCTGTTTCGCAGGATAAACCAGCTCAGATTAAGGACTCTTGAAAACGTTACGTACGGGGGTGAGATGGCTCAGTGGTAACAGCACCCCTTTACCGACCGGAAGGTCCGTGGTTCGAACCTGACCTCTGCCTCTCGACTTCTCTTATCTGGGCTTCGCCAACCTAGCACTATCCCAGTCCTCGTGCTTCATTCTGGTGGTATCGAAGTTAGGCACAGAAACAGTGCCATGGCTGAACGATTTTTTACGCATGGGAAAATATGGGTAAGTATAAAACCGACTCACGCGACCATATTCGCCCATACCGAATTATACAACCAAGGCGACAACAGTGAGCGAAAAAGCCACTATTCTGGTGGTGTTTGGCTCAATACCGTCAGCATTCTGTTTTAATTAGTCTGCGACGCATCCCCGAAAAAATGACACAGGGGTTAGCACTTCAAACACTGCATTTATACCTTCCGAGCTTCGGTCGACCAAAGCAATTATTTACACAGAAGAAAATTTTCTCCGAAGATGTTGGTACATCTGCCAAGTGAGGGTTCAAATCGAATCAGCTGTGACACGCTTTCGGCGTCTAACTGTCATGCCACCCGAAAGAAGCACGAGGGCAGGGATACTGCCAGGTTGCCCAAACCTAGACAGGAGAAGTCGAGAGGCAGAGGTCGGGTTCGAACCATGAACGCTCCGGTTAGTAAATTCGCTCTTCAACCACTGAGTCATTGGGGATATCGCGGTAAACAAATTTTACTTATAGCCATGTTTCAGGTAATTACGTTAGCTGCAAGATGATCATTCGCTTCGTCTGGAAGTAACCTTTCATTTATTCGAGGAACGTGAACATCCATAGCTGACATACAATTCAAATGTGGTGTGATTCTGTACAAAGATGCTCGGCTCCCAAGATTAACTTTAGCGCGAACCAAATAAGACATACATACGCACATAGACACACATAAGATGACTACAGAAACAGTTATAACTGGCTTGAACTCGAATATCGAGCTATTTGAGTGTTGTATCCATCCCACGTTCGTTTGGATAAGGTATTTTTCTTGCAGCGTATTTTTTTCATGAAATTGTAAGCATGGCGTACGCAGCGTGCTTACCTCGGAATGGCAGAAACTGCCAGGTGGACAACGTATGACTTGGGAGAAGGGCTTGAGAAATTTTTTTGGTGCGGTTGGAGATATTATAAGAAATGGCGAGCGATTGGTGTGTTGTGCCTGTCACGAGAAGAATGGACCTTACCGTGATGTGACGGTTTGTGCACCTCAGCGATCCAGTGAGCTATACTGGGGAGTGTCCCCGCGACACTCACAGAGTCTCTCATACCAGGTTGGTCAATGGTTAGAGGTCTCACGAACACAGTCTCCTGGCCCTCCAAATTGGGGGTTGGAACATGTGGCGACTTATTCCGTACATTTGGTAATACATTGCATTTCCCGCCGAACACCGCTGCCTTGCGGTTAGGCTTTTGAGCCAAAGGCTTTGGTTGAGGACCCTAATCGTCCTCCTGTTTAGGTGTGGGCGCCCTGGCAGTATCTCAGCCCTCGTACAACCATGATGATGATGATGTGCTGTGTGGTGTTTGTGTTGTCAGTTCCTTCCCAGATTGTCTGAGTGAACATTTGGAGGTGTTGGGACCTCAAAATGCTTACGACAGCCTAGCACCAGATCCCGTCTCTCACATTTTTCACTTTAAGTAGACTTCAAGTAAACTTTGTGGCTGTAGCTAGTGAAGCATCAGTGTCAACACCAATGTTGCTGTCCTTGACGCTAAAGATGCCCATCGGTCGGATGCTTTCACGAAAGCCAATTGCCCTCGAAGATCGCTGGAGCGGAGATTAGGGTTTTGTGGAAAGCATTACGTCATCTTATTTGAAATGGACTGGCTAATTCGGCGAAAAATGTCATTCGACCCCGATTGGTGAGTGATGAGGATTATGTCTCCGGGAATTAACCCATCAGCTTTCACTTGGACGTTAATCAGTGGGTTGTGGCGGGCTATCGAGAGCTAGTGCGTACGCAACACTCCCCTCTGCTAGCAGATTGTGAGCAATCAAATCCTAGGATAGGGATGGGAATTCCGACAGACCACCTGGGTTTATCCGGACAACATAAGTTTGAAGCCAAGCCCCTCTACAGCCTAACTAATTTCACAGTTCATAGAACATGTCGCCGCTCACACACCTATTCAATCTCTGGCAGACGGATATTCACCGAATAATTAGGCATGCGAAAAACGAGACAGTCTAATCGGTCACCTAACTGTTAAATTCTCCGATACTCGTCAACAGATCTGCCGCCTGACAAGCATTCGGAAATAAGCGACAGTCCGCGAAATCAGAGACAAAAAACTCAAACACCTATATGAGAACAACAGACACTAAAATTACTCAGAAAACTAGGATCGCTTAGAGTAGTAGATTCAGTCAGACTTTCCTGTGACGTCATTAAAGTAGGCGATGAGAATTTCCAAAACTGAAAAACACGACAGATGCAAATGAGGCATGCCAACGGATCGTGTCTCAAGTTCAAACCACAAGGGTTCTTCTGGTGGAACTATCCAACCGAAAGAATTAGATGTCGCGCGTGGCCACATTATCGAGTGGAACATCACCTAATTTGCTTCTGGAAATTGACGTTCCACACATTAGTTCCTCCACTCTGTTTTCCGCAATGAGCAAACTACAGAAAAGTTGCAACCAGTGGAGTTTCTGAAGATGCATTGACTAAAAGCCATGCCAACAAATAAACAGTTGAAGTTTCACTGAGAATCACACCAGTTTAACAAGTTGACACGAGAGTTTCGTTCAAAAAAAGTTCACGAACCGTACAACGTGTGACCTTGATTCTTAATGGGTATCAAGTCCCAAACGGGATACACCGAGCGGAGCATTGATGATCGGATTACTTAATCCGACGTTTCGGCAATCAGGTACAAATCAGAAGGTCCGTGGTTCGAACATAGCCTACACATCTCCACGGTTCCTATCCGAGTTTGGGCAACTTGGTAGTGCTCCCCCCTCCCCCCCCGGGGGGAGGGCATGACAGCTACACACCAAAAACAAGTATTTGATTACCGTTTAGATTGTCTCAAGCGGCTGAATATACCCGTTGTAGTCATGAGAACGAAGAAGTGGGCGAACAAACCTTGTTCTCTGTGATTGTACATTTTGGCTAGTGCATCACAAATTTATATGGTAGCAGAAATCACGTGGAAAAGGTTAAGATCGGGGCTACATATACTTTAGAGAAATAGAAGTCAAAGGAAAGGGGGTTGGGTGAGGGGTAGGTCAATGGGTCACGGAGTCAAGTAAGTGACGTCAATGTCAGACAGACTTGTGGGACCAGATGTTTCGTGGGCCAGTTCAAGTTCAGAGGTCGCACAAGTTTCTTTTGGATGCAAAGTTGTGGATCCAGCAGTCGGATTCCTATCGCCTCTGCGATCGATAGTAGTTTGGATCGTACCAGTCGTGGTCCGTTCAGAGGTACCCGGTATATGATGGTGAAGGCTTGCTCCTTGTCTATGATATGACAGGTTTCGGCCAAGTGTGCTGCAATCGCGCTTGAGCCTGGTTTCTTTCCACTACCACTCAGAGATACGGGATTGTGTTCTCGTATTCTGTCCGACAAATGCCTTGTCGTACGACCAACGTATGATGCTCGGCACGAGCATACGAATGAGTACACACAAAAGCTGGTGGTAGAACGTGGCAATTTGTCTTTCAAGCAGAATCTGATAGTGGGGCTGGAGTTGAAGCTCAAACATAGATTAGCGGCCAAGTATGTCGTATCAACGGAGTTTCTAAGCCTTCTGGTGATTAGTTCAGCAACCGAGTCACCTTTGAATGGAAGCCTCATGTATACGGGCTTCTTTCTAACAGAAAATTCCGTAGGTTTGGGTTTAACGGCTTCCATAGTCTTGAGTACTAGTCTTGGGTTTAGTACTTACTTGACTCCGTGACCCATTGACCTACCCCTCACCCAACCCCCTTCCTTTGACTTCTATTTCTCTAAAGTGTAGCCCCGATCTTAACTTTTTCCACGTGATTTCTGCTACCATATAAATTTGTGATGTATTAGCCAAGATGAACAATCACAGAAAACAAGCTTTGTTCGCTACCTTCTTCGTTCTCATGATTACCGTTTAATCGCGAGAAGTGTAGTCCGCTTTGTCGGACGGGTAGACATAAAAAACGGGCACATCATGAACTGCATAACGGTACCACATGTTGTTGGTAAAGATCACCGAAAGGTCGGGTTAATCATACCTGTTTGCTAAGTATTCCCGCATGATGGAAAGTCCCAGTACAGCACCCAATTTCGGTAACCCTAACCAACCGAGACTTTTGGAACAAAACGGTTCACGACAGTTTACTCCAAGCGGTAACGGTATTCGCACTCCAAGAGATTTTATGGGAAACGATAGGAAGGTCAGTATGAGCTAGAATTATGCCGCTCACCTCACGCCACGTTTCGTAGTGAAAATACCACGCGCCAGAGCAGAAATAGCTTTCCAGCCGGATTTGAAATTGGGCATCACAGGACGAGCACCCCAAGGGTTGCGGATAGCTCCACAAACGGGACAACGGGTTTTGAAATCACTAGCATTCATGGACAGACTGAACTGGGACATTGGAACAGACGGTGTGGCCGGAGTCATGTTTGAAACGGAATCCAGTTGATCCAGGGCATTCAGGCTTAAACTTCCAGAGGAGTTCAAACAACGAGGTACGGAAGGAACTGCTTGTTTGTGGTGCTCTAAACGGACGCTTGTTAGATATTGGAAATCACTTTGAACGGGAGGTAGAGAAAGTTGGGCGAACTGGAGCTCCAGTTGCATATTCATCTTTCGACAGAGTTCTTCATAGTGTTCTCGTTCCCTGACAGGCAACAAAACGGGGTAGAAATAAAAAACGGCAAGTCTATGAAGGGCATGGAATTAGTCCCAAAAAGGGGTGGCATCTTTACTTGATGTATCGAAGTTGGTCCATGAAACAAACGGATAACGAAACCTGCGATCTTGGAAGGGAAGAACTAAGTGTAGAAAGTACAGCTGGTTAGTCAGAAACAACTATGGAGGTCAAGGGTACACAGCAAGGTAGATGCTAACTTCACAATAATGCTTGTGCGCCTATGGTATCACTACCTTGTCCTGGTAGTAGTGTAACGATGGATACTACTGGTGAAGCATGCGAGTAGTCTATGGTTGGTGTGCAAGCTTCACCCCCGCATCTGATGTAGCTTATTACGGAAATTGTGGAACTGCTTTGCGTTGCTCGTTTACCACTGTCTAGTAGTCAATGAATATCCAGGAAATTTTAAGAAGACGCGTGATAAAGTTCGGTTTATTATGTGCACATGAGATGTATGCTTTCCTGTCTAATGACACAAAAGGGATCACCGCTGGTCATTGCGCCATACCCATAGCAGGAATAGCCTATTAAAACCAACAAAATATTCGAATCTTGGCAAAACGACATCAGGATTAACAACTACCCGGCTGAGTACATGAAGACTGCTGGGAGAAACCAAAAAGTTGAACTGGTATTGATCAACTGACCCATAAAATCAAACAACGATTGCCTGGGTCTCTTAGTCTTGTTAAGCTAAGAACTAAGAAATAAAATGTAAGACGAGGAATAGGCATGGATGTAAAGGCTTGGGGACAGCATACAACAGAGGACTTGTCATGATAGCGATATCCGGCCACCGGCAGAGTGGGTCCCTAGTACCTCAGTCGCGTAGACGACAGAAGACAACACACCCGAAATCCATACTTTACGACCCAAATAAATGAGTTTCCCAGCGTCTTAGAAGCTAAGATCGGGCTCTTGTCATATGCAAGCAGCCCTGGGGTAGTGCTTCGCAATTGGAAGATGCAGAACAGACTTCGAAGCGCACGTTAAAGCCAAGCGTGCTATTTATCACCGTGAGTCATTGAAGAGTATCCCCTAGAAGACGTTCAATGCCACAGAAAGTGGACATTGCACACCTTCCCTCCACAAGTTGTCCGACTGGGAAGCTGAACATGAAGGGAGAGCACCGACAAACACCGATTCAGTGATTAACCCAGGAGAACATTCTCAGGGACCCTGGATTGCTTAAACATGATTACTGAAGACATCTGCAGATTATGGGGGCGAGATGTCTGTGGTTAGAGCGCGAATTTACTGACCAGAAGGTTCTTGGTTATAACCCAGTCTCCCCTGTCTAGGCCTGGGTAACCCGGCATTATCTCAGCCCTAGTGCTTCCTTCCGGTAGCATGGCAGCTAGACACCGAAAGGGTGTTACAGCTGAACGACTGTCTTCATCATCTTATGGAAAAAGGCACACATAGACCATCTGTAACATGGCTGCCCCGAGTGCGGAAGAGCCTAAATTAGATAATACTCATTAGCAGTTTCGAAAAGACAGTGTGCGAATCAATGTCTAGCTGTTTCGCACAGCTCAGCCCCAGTGCCTTTTGGAAATCGGAATAAGGACACGTATCGCCACCAAAAATTCTGTGGCCAACCGAATGCTGTCTGAAAAACGCTTTGTCATTATGAATATATCAGCTCGTCTGAATAATGCGGTTTACTTTTCAACAAAACACGGCAAAACCTCCAGTTTACACCATCCACTTGGACACTTACGCTCGGACTAGGAGGTTTACTGTTTTTATTTTAATGCTGCACCGAGTGGTTAGAATAATCATCAATACGGTGAGGTTGTTGCAGTCTATCTTCTATGTTCAACCATGAGCGTGCTGGAATTATTCCGTTACTACTGACCTAAGAGGCTGGAATAAACAGGTTATTGCAGTTGGGATAGGAAAGTATGAACGGAGTGAGGCGCACAACCAAACTCACTGATGCATTGCGGTCACAGATGAGGTCCGCCGAGCGAACGGAAGGACACAACCAGAAAAAACACCTTTGGGAACAAGTTTTCGATGAAATGCATGGGAAAACGTAACAGTTTGGAGCCGACAGGTTTTACAAAATTCACTAAGCAATCAATTCATAGTAACGTTTCCAAAGAGAGACTGTTGTATCCATCAACGGACGTGGTTTGCAAGGACTGTGAAGTTGGGTGTGAAAAAAAACAGACTTATTCCAGTGAAAACTGACTACTCAAACGGCATAAGTAGTATAGAAGCGAGACTGGTTTGCGAAATTAGGAAAAAAAAACTCAGATAGTGGAGAATCCCAGCCGATGATTCGGGTAGTAGTATCACAGAAGAGTCTCGTAAAAAGTTTGTGCTGCTGCTCTTGTATCATTGTCATGCCTGTCCTGGATGGAACGCGGGGAGATCAGGTGATGGGACCACCAAATACAAAGCAGAAGGTATGGCTCGAACAAAGTACCAAGCTACGTACGTTGGAAAGCGACTATCTCGGCCCCCGCTATTCAAAGACGTGAAAATGCACGACATCCCGAAACTCTTTTATTAAACGTTCTCACAACAAGGCTACAAGCCCCATGAATAGTCAGATTCCTCTGCCATAAATTGCAGAAATATTAAGTGCCTAAACTATAAACTGATCCTAATATGCTCCAGGCACAGACGTTCAAGAAATGTCCCACCTTCCAAACGGATTGCGGAAGACCTCTTGTTTGACATGAAGACCTTTCGAATAAGAAGACCAAAGAGTATTACGGTGATGTTTCGCGACCACGTTCAATCTCACAAACTATCTTGTGTACTCAAACATTTTAGCATCAAACTGTGCTTAGCAAAGTTAGTGGTCTACGGATGTTACTCTCAGTGTGAAAGAAGCTGATAAACAAAGCGTCACATGGTTGGATCACGTGTATAACGCCTACACGGATTATTTACACCTAATTAAATCAAACGATCCCCTCCCCTAATGCATGGCACACTTCAGGCTCACGTCGATCAGAGAAGGGGCCCGAAACAATGCTGAAAGTGACGCTGCAGTACTTGCCACAAAGGGAGTGGTTAGGAAATCACACTTTACAATTCCTTCTCTCAAATTTATCTGGCACCAAATTCTTTAAAATGGGTGTCACTAGCATGAAGAATGACCTACACTATGGACTCATCATCACCATCATCGATAGCATGACATCAGTGTTCAACAACGACGTACAACCGCCGTACAACCATGACTTATTTGAAAGCCTTATTGTGAAGAAAAGAATAAAGGTGGACGGGAAAGAGACTTAGTGCTAGTTTACTACAATCATTCCGAGATGTCTATACCTCCAGACTCAGGCGACCTGGATAGAAACTGACAAGAACGCCACTGACATCGGTTGGCAGCCATATCTTGTAGTGTGTCCAACCAGGCATAGTGAGGATCACACGGTCCTCATCCTAAAAGGCGAGTAGCACCGACGACACCCAAACGTTTCGTGATTAATTTCATACCCCTATGCCAGGTCAAGGGTTGGCCGTCTTTCTTCTTCCGGCCCTCTGAATTGGGCGTGAAAAAAGCACTCTTTTCGGCAAACGATGGCTGGACATACGCAGCACATGCTCCAACCAAAGCAGCTTCTGATGCTGGACACATTATTCAATGGAAATATCCGTTGAATGTGAGAATCCGAGTAGTGTAAATAAAGAGGTTAAGCATCTGAATGGACTTGCGAAGCCGCACGAAGGAGGAGGTCATTCAGCTGTAACACCCTTCCGGGGCCCAGCTGCCATGCTACCCGAGGGCTAGGATACTGCCAGGTTGCCCAAGCCTAGCCAGGGGAAGTCGAGAGACGGAGGTCGGGTTCAAACCACGGACCTTCCGGTCAGTAAATCCGCGCTCTAACCATTTGAGCCGTCTCGGCCCACCGCACGAAAAGAGAATCATCATTTTATAAATAGCGGTCCATTATGACGACATCATCATCAATGAGAGCAACACTGTGAGAAAGGGGTGAGAACACTGATACTTTATTGCCGCGCAAAGAGGTTGATTTATCCTAATAAAGCCTGAAAATACGTAGAAAAAATTGGACGCTGAGGGGGGACCTAGGATTAACCTGCAACAGACATCCAAGGTGCCTCCACCTTCAACATTCAATCAACCTGGATAGAAACCAATCGTACGAACACCACTGACATCGATTGGCCGCCATAGGGTCAAGAGTCCCTAAGCAGCAACAAACAACAATCAAAAACTGACAAGATCATCGGCCCGATGCTGACAGAGGCCAGTGAACCATGACAGTCACAATGCAGCGTGACTTGCCTGGATAAGTAGACGTTAACCATATCGCTGTGAAGGATTTTCGCAGAGTTTACTTGGTACGAGGAGAGCTCGAATAACGCTCCATCCATGTGGTGCCCCCTGAACTTTGATAGAAAACTCTGACCAACACGGTCAACCGCAGACAAAAAAAGGATCCTCGTTCACAATCGGCCGAAAGAGGAGCCGCTGTGATCTGGACATCGTCCATGAACTGAATCAGCAAGCATCGCATGGTTTTGTCCCACGAATGACCTAAGACTTAAATAGGCTAGGAATGTGCAGCCGAAATCAGGTCATCGCGATAGAACGCAAAGTGACCAACACTTCTTGGTTGTAAACCAGGTGACTGGTGATCTGTTCGCCGAGATCCGGAACTTACTTGCATATGTTTGGTCACCATTTGTGGGGATATCACAACGAACTTCAAGTTGATAGACAATTCACAACCGCACCAAACGCAATTCCAAGTAAATTCATCACTGAGTAACTCCCGTTCCAAGATGAGTAGAACGCCCAAACTTATCGATCGTGCAAACGACGGTCTACTACTGAAGGGAAGCCGTTCGCTGCGGGGTTTTTCTACTGGAAATGCCAACTGACCGGTTACAGACTTTTGGACAGGGAAGCAAAACTCATTTGCACCTCATTTACAAAGACTGGACATCTATCTCCTGAACGCGTCTTCTTGAACTTTCCTAGATATTCATTGATTCCAATAATCCATGGCTCGAATCCAAGCGAATGTTACAAAGCGGCTCCACAAATTCCGCAACAGATCTCCCTTTTCAAGAGACGCAAAACGAAATTCCAAGAACAACACATACTACTCACATGCCTCCCCGACAGTAGTATCACCGTTAAAATGCGCCACAAACCTGTAAAATATTCAACTGTATGCAAACAAAACGCCGTACACTTGCTACTCACTTGATGGCTAGACAACGTTGCTCTTCGACCTCACGCATCAACATTTGCAGTTCGGTGCACAGGTCATTGACTCGTTCCAATTTGTCATCGTAATGGCGACGGAGGTCCTGAGCATGTCGGAGTTCTTCTCGTCTGCGACGAAGAAGTAGAACCTCCGGCTTCGTGTGATTGTTGTTACCTTCAATGCGAATGTCCTAATAAATGGAGAATGGAAAGAATGAGAGTGGGGAATGAATGAATTGATGCACGATCCCCGTTAAGGTAGGTTCTCAAGTGAATGTAAACCATGTTAAATCAAGACTGGTTCGACCTAGTTCTCGAACACAGGTCATTACCTCTAACTGAAGCGCGATCTCCTCCTTCCACAACTGCTGCGCAGCAAGGAACTCCGCCCGGCTGTACTGCAACAGATCGTTACAAGCAAACTCCAGGTGTGACAGAATTTGCCGGAAGCTCGGTCGGCTTCGTGGTTTGTTATTCCTGCACATGAGAAAAGAAAGTCGGTTCAGATGAATGTTAGTGGGGAAAATGTTGATTTCGATGGAAAAGGTAGATTGAGTACAATTTGCGGTGAACGCTCCTCCTGACTTTACAAATTACAGCTGAAGAATGACGAATATATTGTGCATTTTCCATACAGTCTGTATCGGCTTCGTATGACAAGGCACCTTCTAAGAGTAGCTACCGCAAGACATTACTGAACCAAATGTTTCTGGATCGGAGCTCTGCAATGTATCTAAACTACCTGAGTATCTGAAGTCGATAGAACTTATTTGTGGTGTGAAATCTGGGATTTTCCAATTGAACCTATGTCTTGTAAGCGAAGTCAATCTGTGCGGAAAACACGAGATGCACTGTGTATCATCCTAATTGAAGATCACCAGCAATGTGCATCTCACGAAACGCCGGGGAGTTTCGAAAACTGGTCACCTCCCGGCTAGGAGTTTGAACACAGGCCTTCGACCACCGGCGACTGATCCTTTATTTACGGAATTCACATCAGGCGGTCCCGCGTTGATTGACTCCTCGAGTGATAACTTCTCCCAAGGAAATTCCACTCATCACGTGAATTTATTCTTCCACTAAACCATGTATTGATAGTTAGTAGTATGATGAGATCTGCGATGGGTGATTGGGGGTGAGACTTGGGTCGCGGGTTCGAAACTAGATGGAAATTCCAAAGATGCGCACCTCTGATGGTACCCAACGAGGATGAAACAGCTGTAAAGTGCTTCTCAGCTTTTCAGCATAAACTGGCTTCATTTACAGAATGAAACCGCAACACAGAATGTGGTTTGAGTGCGTTCGGCCAAGTTACATTTCCCTCCACATCAAACCAAACTAAGTATACCATAATAACTTTCTACTAGACAACAACCTCGCGTGGGTCGGCCGGAACCGTTTTCGTCATCAGCTTGCAGTAACATATGGGCTATAGTTCTACTTTACTTGTCCACTGTGATTTAAAAGAGGTCAGTCGGCGAGATGGTTCAAGTGGTTAGAGCGCGGATTTACTGACTGGAAGGTTCGTGGTTCGAACCCGACCTCTGCCTCTCGACTTCCCCTGTCTAGGCTTGGGCAACCTGGCAGTAGCTCAGCCCTCGTGCAACCTCCGGGTGGCATGGCAGTTAGGCACCGAAAGAGTGCTAGAGCTGAACGACTGGAGTTGTTTGTTTTGACAGAATCTGCGACCGAAGTGGACATGTCTGGCTAGCGTTCACCGTCTTCACGCTCGTGAATCACGTGTTATTGGAACGTCAAACGGTGATGTCGCTGAAAGTCTTTAGGATTTATGACAAATTTCTCCATACAATTTGTGCATAAAAGTGATAACGACACACGCAGAGAGAGAGGAGGTATGGCGGTTGGATGCCTCATCGTACCTGCGTGTTTGCTAGTTCTACTGATTTTGATTGCAACCAAAACTTTTTACAAGTTTTCGACAGATTGACATCGTCATTATCATCATCGAAAGCACAGCATCAATTCTACACACTGGCGCTTCGCTGCTGTACGACCGCAATTTATTTGAAAGCCTTACTGTGAAGAAAAAATATCAAAGTGGATGGAGAAAAAAATTTAAGAAGTCGTTGAGCTGTAGCACCCTTTCGGTGCCTAGCTGCCATGCCACCCGGAGGTTGACGAGGGCTGGGATACTGCCAGGTTGTCCAAACCTAGACAGGAGAAGTCGAGAGGCAGAGGTCGGGTTCGAACCACGGACCTTCCGGTCAGTAAATTTGCGCTCTAACCACTTGGGCCATCTAGTCCCAAGTGAATGGAGAAAGGACTTACAGCTAGTCCACCACAATCACTCAACAGTTCCTACGCCTCCATAAGCTCATTCGAACACTGGATAGAAAATGATAACATGAAGGCCACCAACATAAACTAACAGCTGTATATCGCAGCATCCCCAGTCATACACAGGAGAATTAGGTGGACCCCAACCAATCCCAATCGCTTTCACACTCTGCTGAGATCTGACAAATTCCGTTTCCTGACATTCACATCACTCTGAGAAAACGGACGACATGATAGACATTCATCGTACTGCCGCAAAGTAGGACGGTGAAATGGGCCGCAACTGGCCACTACACCCGATCACGTTGGCTTTCACATCAAGAATCCCACGAAGCCACAATGCGCCCTGAAGTTAGGCATGTCAAATCAATTAGGAACGACGGAATATGAGGAAATGTGACAGCTATTCGGGATACGGTCAGATGCGAGTCGGGGGAGAATGCGCAGAACTTTGCGGAACACCGGGTACATAAACATGCCTACTGGTTACTAAATGTGGCTTATGACACAAACGTGAACGTTACAACCGGAATTACAACGCAAACTCTATTTGGAGGCACAAAAAGGCGAGATTATAATAATGATTCCGTGTTTTGCTGTCCTAGCACAGGTAAAACAAATCTGAAAGAAGCGGCACACATACCAACACATGTTGATGAGTATTCGCAATTCGGTCGGGCAGCTCGCAGGAACTAAGAGCCGAAGTTTTCCACTCCCCACACCCCAGATGATGGCGCTGGAATCCACACCGTTATAGGGAATTTCGCCAGTTAACAGCTCCCAGAGGATGACACCGTACGACCTAAAACGTTAATCGACAGTGATTAAAAACCGAAGTTGTGTTATTTTAGAACGTATGTGAGATAAGAGTAAAATGAAGTCAACTAGAGCAAAGACACTGCAAATGTGTTGTGTCTTGATGAACGGTAGTGCAACTCTGTATCGGTCCCTTGGCTTCCTGCTCCACCCACTATGGTATATCAAAAGGCACGGAAGCTCTACACAGCCCTTTATGGAGACAAAGGAAACTTATTACGACGGTATTTATAGGCTAATCACAGAGTGTTCCAAAAGGTCATGCCAGAATCCCCGTGAGGGGGCGAGAAGCGTCGAGTCAAAGGTGCTTGGCTCGGATTGGCTGACATTCTGACCAATCAGGGCATGCCTTCGATTGGCCCGTGTCCTGCACGTGACATCCGTCCAAATGATGTGATGTTCGGTTATTAGGGACAGCTGGCCTCCGAACAAAATGACAACTCCCAATCTACGTAACCACATTCCCAAGGATACACGCTTGTCAATAGGGTTATTTTTCCAAGAATTTGGTGAAACTTCTGGCCAGTGCTGCTCAATCATTTTATGCTAGTTGCAGGGTTCCCGTCCAGGCTGTGGATGTTTGCAACACGTCGCGGAACAACGTGTAATCAACAGAATATAGAATAACATCGGCAAAGTACCACCGTCTAGCGGCATTCATTAGGAACTGTATGGTTTGAAAGTGTTATTCCCGTGGGATGGAACGCAATAGGAATAGAGTTCAAGGTAGAAAGACCCTACAAATAATAATAATAATAATAGTGAGTAATAATAAAGCACACACCACACATCCACTTTCAGTGAGCAAGGCTCATTCCGTATCACCTCGGGTGCCATCCATGCCACGGTCCCAGCGAATGACATTTTAACCGAGTGTTCGGTCCATTCTCGTGAGGCGCCAAAGTCCGAAATCTTCAGTACGTAATCCTGACCAACCAAGATGCTGGAATTGAAAGAGAAGCGGACAAAACCCGTCTGAGTGGACTGGCGGAGAGTGATGACCTAACAAACACCGAAGTCGCTTGTAAAGTGACAAGCTAGAGCACATCTAAGTGTCTCAGTTGTCAGTCGATCTGCGGAAGGATGCGCTAGACACAACTGTACAATTCAATCCAATTTATCAGCTACAAACCGTGTACTATAGGCACATTGGTTTCAGCTTCTACAGTTTCGATCACCGGAAAACGGAACATACAACCAAGCCTTAGAGGCGAAGGCATATTCAGTTTGTTCGGAAATTGGGTAGCTATGCATCGAAGGCGATAGCTTTGACGCACGACCGCCACTGACTGCGCGATTGGGCCCTTTCCGCCAATGATTTGAGTCCCAGGGTCACCATCCAGGGAGGCGGAAGTTGCCCATCCGACTAAGTTTACCGGTTAGTGTTTTCGTGTTTCGCTACCCACCTCTCGGTCACCTCCACTCAGTACGGGGCTGGGAGAAAAGAGCTCTGTGAGGCAGATGGTCTTCTGGCATGCGGACTGCCACACAACTGATACTTCCCCAGCCTCTGAGCTCGACAGAGCTCAGTGGTTAAGGAACAAAGTTGCTACGCGGAGGGTTCGAACCAAACCTCAGCACTTCGAATGCTCCCATCTAGGTTTGGGAAACCTGGCAGTATCTCAGCCCTCGTATTTCTTTTGGCTGGTATGGTAGATAGGCACCGAAGGGGCATTACAGCTGAATAATCACCTTTTCATATTTACTAAATGCTATAGAACCAGGCTGAAAAGGTTGCGTAACGTGTCTAGCTTCGGCAAACCACTCGCCGAATTCCAACCAAAGGTTAAGCCGATTAAGACCAAGAAAACGGGTGTTGATGATGACCACAAGTAGTGATAGTCAGCCTTTGGAGATGCAAAAAAGGCTATTACATCAGACCACATTCGAGAACGGCTACTAACTGGTACGTAAACTTTACATATTCAAAGTGGGAAGCAGAAATGAAATCGAATAGCTCCGCGTCTTGTTACACAACCAACGTGGTGCTTGCTCAGCACGTAGTCGACGAAATCAACACAAAACTTCTGAATTGTTATAAAACAGAAAAACAGTTAGTTTCATCTGACGTAGCTGGCACGGACGTTGCATGGTAAACGCCCACCAAACTACTTCGATTTTCTTCGCTTCGTTGCATACGGGTACAAACTGATACTGTGCGAGTCCACACACACACACCTTACGGCAAAGAGACGGTGTCATCTTGCAAAAACAGTTGGCCATCTGACCACAACAGCCAGTCGTAATGGTGTGCGTTTTTTCAGGAGACATTTTTGCGTAGATGGGCAGCGTCCTGTCCGTAATTTAGGACAAACTGAGTAGTTTAACGTTATCGAATATATTGTGGGCGTTTCGGAAGCCCATTCAAAATTTGATTTGGACAAAAACGGCCGACGTGATTGCCCCAATGATGACGGAGGTGAATGAAAGCTGGAGCACAGGATCCGGCGTTTCCGTTCGCCAAATAATAAACTACGCTCCAAACACAGTGACCTCAGAGCAGAGCTTCAGACCAAAACTAGCTTTGGTTAAGAATATGGCAAGTTTTCAGAAACCATTACTAAGAACGGTGTATCGGTGACCAAAAGCGGTGACAGTTCATTATCCAGAGAACTTTCTTCTTCAGGTAGGCCAGAACCATCAAGTGCTGTTGAGCTGTTCGCCGAGCCAGGCGTTTGTCTTACCGCATCGGTGTCCACATCATCAACCGCACACTGACCATCAGTCTCTTGATGACAAACAAGTAACACCTGTATGGTGCTTCTAAGCCTTTCAGTTGGGAGAAATCTCTGGTGATGATAAGACATTTGCAGGTAATCGACAAACTCGGTGAACAGGTCACCTCATTAGCAAGCACAAAAAGCACCCGACCATCATAATCATCATCGACGGCATGACACCAGTGTTCAACGCCGATGCTTCGCTGCCGTACGTGCACCCGACTAGTTCGTTCTGTTCAGCAACCCAGATTGTCGTTACCGGTGTAACGGTGGATACTACTGATGGGGCGCGCGAGTATTATGTTTTCTCGTAAATCCGCATCGCGTCTCTTGAAAAGTGAGATCTATTAAGGAATTTGTGGAGTCGCATTTGCTTGCATTTGAGTAAAAGTCAATGAATATCCAGGAAAGTTCAGGAAGACGCGTTCAAGGAGAAGATGGATATTCAGTTTTTTTAAACAAAATGCATATGAGAGTTTTGCTTCCCTTTCCAATAGTCTGTAACTGTTCAGTTGGTGTTTTCAAATAAAGAGCTCCGCAGCGCAGACCCTCTCCCTTTTACCGGTAAGTGGCATTACAACTCTCGAGTATGCAAGCGAACTGCAACAGATGCCGGATGATGACAGTGCACCATCGTACCATAAAGGTAAAAACACCACAAAACATACTTGGGTGACTTTAAATCTCGATGGACAATCTTATTCGTGTGCAGATATTGCATCCCGGTTGCAATCTGTTTGGCCCAGTCTTGTACAAGAGGCGGACTCGTTTCGAACGCATTTGAATGAAGTAGCTCGTACAACTGTCCGTTGGGACAGTATTCCATCAGTATACAGAAGCAACGTGGTTCCAAACAAATGCCTCTGGAAAAGTGGACGGAGAATCCGGGGTTAGTGGATGGAACACGGTGAAGCTTCGATTGTCAAACATAGAAACAGAAAAGTTTTTGACAGGATAAAACCAGCGCAACACCTCTCGATTAGACAACAAAACACAGTCGAACAATTTAATCTAGCCAGCGCAAACACGATACAGCTATCCTGGTGTGCTAAGAAGGCAACGGTAACCAGACGTTTGAAGATACAATGCAATGGCTTTATTTCTACAACAAAGCACATTTCGCGCAAGTGTGCCACGGTCACAGCCTACTTAGAATGAAAAGTAGTAAGTAAATCTTGTTTTGCATGATATCCACAGGCTGAGGCTGCGGCTGTTTTACCGGTCATTTTTTGCTCTGGGTTTTGAAAGAAAGAAAGCGTTCAACTGTAGCACCCTTCCGGTGTCTAGCTGCCATGCCACCTGAAGGAAGCACAAGGGCTGGGATACTGGTTGCCCAAGCCTAGACAGGGGAAGTCGAGTGGCGGAGGTCGGATTCGAACCACTTGGGCCATCTCGCCCTGAAGGAAAATACGGTCACCAGTATTTGTATTAGGCTGAAGTTGAAAACGAGCAAAGTTCCCCATGGGGATGATTTGAAAGACGACGCTGAAACAACCAGGGGACTACAGTCGACGTTAACAGACTCTGTTCAGGCAACCGAATAAGTCAAGCATTGTGCTTCGAAGCAACTGTTGTGACTTGAGATGAACGGTCGTGTAACTCTGTGTCTCTTGAGGGGAGGAGAGGCGTCGAGCTGAAGATGCTTGATCCAGATTGGCTGGCATTCTGACTAACCAGGGCATGCGTTCGTTTTGTCTGTAGACCGCATGTGACACATCCGTCCAATTGATGTGATGTTCCGTAATTTGGGACGGCTCACCTCCGAACACCTCCCCCTTGAGAAGGCTTTTCAACCGACCACTGCTTTGAACTCATCTGTGACGACTCAAGCAGATGCTTTCGCATGTCGCTCCGTCCCTGTGGCTAAGAGAATGCCGATCTGGAAGCTGGTACCCTCCACTTTGTAGGTATATCACGGCTGTCTGATGCCCCATGCGACGTGGTTCCCTTACGGAGCCGCAGTTTGTTGCCTGAAGTTGGCTCCCCTGACGTGACCGTGCTTTTGATCATATTTTTGCATCGTGCTTGACATAGTATTCGACCCTGCGTCCACCGTGGAGACGCACGAGACACATCCGGCCAATTCATGTGATGTTAGTTTATTAGGGATGGCTGGCCTACTGACAGCAACATCCAGAATTTATGATTGAAAGCAAAGATATTCAGCACGCACCGAGAAATTTTCTGAAATTAATTTTTGAGACCTCTCTTTTAGTGAGGCCAAAAAAGCCTTTATTTCCCGTGATGGCCTTCATTCAGGATGGACAATGTGAAGCAATTGGGTACTTCTCAGACTTATCAATCATAAACGAAAGCCACGGCCGGTGGTAATGGAAAAGAAACCCAAAAGCACGCAAGTGTAGTAGCGTGATGAGACATAACAAATCGGTCAGCTTCCAATCACTTAGTTGGTAGATGAAGGATAGCGTATAATTAACGGTACAACGAGAACCAGTACAGGAAAACCGTTCACTTAGGCCAATGGTTCAGGCATCGAGAGAACGCCGTTAATAGTTCGATTTACACTACACTTATACTCTGAAAGTCGTGGGGACCCGAGACCTCTTCTTCACGTTACAATTGAACCATTAGAATTAAAAACCTGCATTGAAAAATTCCAGAAATAGTTATTCGAAACCGGCCTTTGTCTTGTTATTGTACAGGGACCAGGAACGAAAATTGCACGTGAACAATACGTTTCAGGATCGAAATACACTGATACTGTCTGTCTGCCACTAGACAGGTTGCGCAAACGAAGGTAGATCTACCTATCACCTTCCCATTCACCAGTAGGGGTAGACAAATCAAGGACCAATCAGTGTGTTGCACGCCATGGAGAGCAATGAAGTCGGGGAGAGGTACTATTTTGGGTAGTATCATGCTGCTAACGCCAGCGCACCCAGACAGTAGCGTAACCGACGTAACAAAAGATTGGTTAAGCCGTAACGAGGTTACCACTCGAAAATGTCAGCAGACGGTAACGCTGCAAATGGATTGCGCAATCGGACAAGGGTTGGAATTCCGTGACCAACCTTGGTTACCCAGTATAGTGGGTCGAATGCTGCTAACGCCCGCCATCCAATTGTCTGGATTCAGCGAGTTACGCATCTCCAAGCGCCCTGCTACATAACTGCAGCGGCGAGGGATTCTGAGATACAAAGTGTCATTTTCAAGTTGGTGCGGTTTCTGCCTTGGACAACAACAATGCGACAACAATGAAATTTCGCGCGTTGTCTCTGGGTGATATTTCACTACAGCCTACCGTCGCAAAGATAATTTTGTCGCGATTCCCTATTTGCTTTACTACTCAGGGAAGCCGTAAGGAATAGTTAGAAAAGACTAAATTCGCGTCCAATGGGTAAAAAAAATGAAGCAGTGTGAAATCTAAGAAAATTTTAGAGAAAACTGGTCCTTGGTAGCGAAGGGTCAAACTGAAGTCGTCAAAATGTGCGACGAGGTAAGAAGTAACACGATTCTCCTGGAGACAGTGTTGATTTACCACGAAGGAGTATGCTCGACAGAAATGTATCTCTTTGTCATCACGTGTTGGTGCATTAAAAAGGCAAAATTGATAACTTGTTGAACTCTACATTGCAAATGTTCGCATTGGATTTATCCCGGAAAATAAGAATAAAAGTGTGCAACAACTGTGTCCGGTAGCCAGAAAGACGACACGTATCCACAGACCACGAGAATTTCCAGCTTTCAGATTGTGGAGTGGAGTGCACAAACTGATTGCAGACTGGTGTGGCTACACACCGTCACGAA